TTATTGGGCATTCTATTGAAGGCTAACTGCTAAAATAGGTAAAAGGATGAAAACTATGATTCAGTCATTAAATGGCAAAAACGCTAAGGAAACTTGATAATTATTACTGTTTTCTCTTGGCTGTTGACAGAAGGAAGTGCTAACATAGTAAGACATATATAGCAAGAACTAGAAACATGAAATTGTTGGAACATGAAAGGCAGTTACAATTAAAGAGCAACAAGTGATATCTGCTGGGACCAGGGACATTCAACACTGTCCCGGGCTGGCTGCCTAATTCAGCAAGGTGAGGAAGAAGGTCATCGTGACAAACAGTGAGAAGGAGAAACGAAACTGTCACCCATGTATTCAGTCTCTCTCTGAAGGAAATTCCAAGTCTATACTGAAAGGGAGAAAAGAAAACTCAACAGCATGAAGGCATAAATTAATACATGTAGGGTATACACAATCAATATTTAATGAAGCATTTACTAACATGTCATATTTATTAAAGGTTACTTGAAGAGAAAAATGCAAGGCAATAGCTAAAAATACGTTCAAATAGGAAATATGAGGAGGACCTATTTTAGTAGATACCAAAAATCCCCAAACAATAAATATATTGAGAGACGCCCACACAGGTCACTCAACAGCACAAGAGAGAGTTTGCAATCAGGCCAATGAATCTCTGTCTAGACCTCTTACTTTTGGAAGTGATTCTGTACCTAACCCCAGATTTATAGTTTTCTATGCCTAAGGATGTATGTGCAGAATAGTTTGTAATAACCAAAATCAAAACAGCCTTGGTGTTCACCGAGTGAAATTAAAATATGGACCTATTAAAAAGAATGAAGTTCATCTTGCATATTCTGCCCTGGAGAAACAGTCACAGTATATTGTTAACTTTTCTTTTAAAGCAAGTTGCCCAAAAATAAGGATATTATGTTGCCTTTTTTAAATAAACAAGGGAAAAATTCTGCAAGGATATAAAGAAATATGTTAGCATGTGAAGGAACCTTTCACTTTCCACCCCATATAAATTTGTCAAAAAATGTCTAAACCTTGTTTTATTTCTCTGAACCCTGAAAATTGTTTCAGGATAAGTTTCAGATATGAATTTTGTTTGGTCTTTTGTATAGAACCTGGTTTCCTTACTGACTTGTGGGCTGTATTAGCCTGTCCTCATGCTGCCCATAAAGACATCCTCAAGATTGGGTAATTTATAAAAGGTGTAATGGACTCACAGTTCCACATGGCTGGGGAAGCCTCACAATCATGGCAGAAGGTGAATGAGCAGCAAAGTCACATCTTACATGGCGGCAGGCAAGAGAGCTTGTGCAGGGGAACTCCCATTCATAGAACCATCAGATCTCCTGAGACTTATTCACTGCCAAGAGACCAGTACGGGGCAAATCCCTGCCATGATTCAATTATCTCCACCTGGCCCTGCCCTTAACAGTGGGGATAATTACAATTCAAAGTGAGATCTGGATGGTGACACCAGAACCACACTACATCAGGGGCCCTCTGTGATTTCTTCCTTAGTTTTCTTTTTGGAAACAAGGAAGCCCAAGTTGTCCCTTCTCCTAGAACAGGGGGTGAGAGCAAAATCGAGACAAAGATCTTGTCTCCCAAGGAAGGCCCATGCAAATATATGAAAAGGCATCCTTCTTGCAAGAGACCTTTAATAGTTCCTGATGAAATTTATCAGCTATGTGAGCTCCCCTCCCCGGGCCTCAGTTCCCTCATCTGTTCAATGGAGGAGGCAGTAAAAGGCTTCCAAAGTAAGCTCTCTATCCATCATGGCTTTTTTTGTTGCAAGCGAAAGAAAGCAAACTCAAGTTGGTGTAAGGCGGCATGGGTAAGTTATCAATGACCAATGCACATAATCAGTCAATCACACACTGACATGCATACCTTCTCTCTCCCTGCCTTCCTCTCCATTACGCCCTCCTCTCTTGGTGACCAGATGGCTTCCAGAAGTTCCTAACTGGCTCTTAGCCTCAGAGGTAGGTGAGTAAAGCTTCCTCCCCCATCATTCTAAGAAAAGTTCTGAGCTGAACCTCATTGGGACAAATTGGGTCCTTGCCCATCTCCAAACCAATCACAGTGCATAGGGACAGAATATGCAGACCAGCCCAGGCCTGGAGCTTAGGCCCTTTTCTTTGCTACAGGTTGGGAGGATGTACTGATTTCCTGTCCTGCAGTACTGCATGTGATATGTGAGTAACAGCATCACCCAAAACAAAACAAGGACTATGTAAAAATTAAAGCCTTTTATGGATCAAAGGTGCTTGCTAATACAGTGAAAACACAACTCACAAAATGGGAGAAATATTTGAAAGTCCTATGTCTGATAAAGGATTAATATCCATTATATATAAAGAGCGCCTACAATTAAACAACAACAAACATTCCACGATCCAGGTTCAGATCCACGAGGGAATATAGAGACCCACTCAACTCAACCCAACTAGGGACAGCTCTAGCTCCAGAGTGCTCTGCAGGGTGGGTCGTGGGTGTCCTGGGTCCCATGGGGGAGGCTGACTGCTTCCTCTGCCTGCCCCCCTGCCCTGCCTCTCCTCTCTGCAGAGGTTCGCCACAGGCAGCCTCCTCTTGGAAATCAGGTGGCATTCTACCTCCATCTCACCCTCTGCCTCCAGGGAAGTCACTCTGTAGCACTTTAAGCTTTCAGATGTTTAAGACTTTCAGAGGCCGGTCGGGGTCCTGTGAGCTTCAAAAATAAGAACTTCTTGAATCTGGCTTTATGGATGGGACTTCCTCTGGGGAACACGTTCAAGATGACATCACAGAAATGTCCCCACCTACTTTGCATTGCTACTGACCTCCTGGCCCATGACACAACCCAGTCTGGCCTGACAGCACACACCTTTGTAAACAGCTTCCTGGCCTCACCATGATTCTGCAGCTGACAGCAGGCTGGGCGTGACAGGGCCAGCTTGGAAGGAAGCATGAAAGTGGTGGACAGACAGCAAGCCAGCCGTGTGTGGGCCCGGGCATAGGGTGTCAGGAGAGCCACAGCCTCCTCAAGCTCAGCAAGATCGAAGAGCTCTCAGACTGTTTTCCTCAGAAGCTCATTCTGGTTGCAAGCTCATCTCCTGTGTCTGCAATCCAGATACAAGTTGCAGCCCATGTTTCCTGTCCCCGTCTCAGGTGTGGCCATTGGACTAGACGTGGCTCCACGAGTGTCCTCCTGGTCACAGTAACTGATCTAGGGACGGTTGTGGGACAAGATTAGACCCAATCAGCTGCCATGTGGCTTTTTCTGGGATGTCTGGGAAAAGGGTCCTGTCTTTCCTGCTGGGCTGGAGGCTTCAGGCTGTCAGGGGAGGAGCTTTAGGTGTCTCGAGTCTTCCTGGAGCCCAAGAGAGCGTCTGTGCTTGTGAGCAGAGCTGGGATATGGAAGACCCTCTTTGCAGCAGCCTCCCCAGAGTGCTGGCTTGGGCTGGCCCCCAAGCCAGCTCTGATACTGCACTGCCTGCTCGTGTGAATGAATCGCTTCCCTCCCACCCACCATAAACATAGGTGATACAACCACCATTGCCACTGGAAGAGGCCCTAAGGAATGCACTCCCCTCCTCACTGATTCCACAGGAAGCTAGGTGGCTGCTTCTGGTAGCATGAAGGCTTCCACACTGGGCTTTCATCTGCCTGGAATTGTTGTATCACCTACATTTATGGAGGGTGGCAGGGAAGTGATTCGGTCATGTGAGTAGGCAGTGCAGCGTCAGAGCCAGCTCTCCGTCACAGACAGACACCCTGGCATGGAAGGAAACCTTGTGAGTTCTCTGTCACACATGTCTGACCCGTCCCGGCCCCCAGTAGAAGTTCAGACAAGGTCAGTTGATGAATTTTCTCCACCTTTCATTCTATAGGCAAGGAAACCTGCTCCTACCGGGTTGCTGAGCTTATTGGAGGTCGGGAGTAGTTATGAAATAAACGTCACGGCATCATTTCACAAGCAGCCTCTGCATTGCCGGAGACCTTGCTGCCCAGAGACTGGTTTAATTGCTCTGGGTGGGGCTCGATAATCACTGTTGCATCAGTTTCCCACCCATGCTGTAACAAGTCACCACAAATTTAGTCACTTAAAACAACACTCGGCTGGGCGCGATGGTTCGTGCCTGTAATTTCAGCACTTTGGGAGGCTGAGGTGGGTGGAGCACCTGAGGTCAGGAGCTGCAGGTCAGCCTGGCCAGCAGGGTGAAATCCCATCTCTACTAAAAATACAAAACTTTGTTGGGCGTGGTGACATGCACCTGTGATTCCAGGTACTCGGGAGGCTGAGGCAGGTGAATCACTTGAACCCGGGAGGCAGAGGTTGCAATGAGCCCGCCATGACAAGAACAAAACTCCATCTCAAAACAGCAACAACAATACCAACAACAGGCCCACAGATTCACTGTCTTGCTGTTCTGCAGGTTGGAAGCCCAACAACCAACAACAGGCCCACAGATTCACTGTCTTGCTGTTCTGCAGGTTGGAAGCCCAACACAGGTCTTGCTAAACTCAAAGTTTCAGCAGAGTCTTTAGGACGAAGATCTGTTTCCTCAGCTTGTTCAGCTTCTAGAGACTTTCGTATTTTCTTGGGTTGGGGCCCCTCCTCCATCTCCAGGCCAGCAAAGGCTGATAGGGTCCTCACATCACATCCTCTGACATTTGTTCCCTGACCTCACCTCCCCTCCACCTTGCCCCCCCACCACACCCCCCACACTTCACCCCCCTCCACCTGGGCTCCCCCCACCTTGCCTCCCCCCGCCCCAACCTTGCCCTCCTTTCCATTTAAAGGCCCTGTGATGACATCAGCGCCATCTGGATAATCCCAGATCCTCTTGCTCCTTTAGGTCAGCCGATCCACTGCCTTTGTCTGTCTTTGGTTCTGTGAATCAGGACCTGGACACCAGTGGGGATCATTATTTTCTTATTTTCCCCACTACACACAGGGAGAATAAGGAAATAAAGCTCTCAAGTGAGGCCAGCATGCGACAGAACAGAGGCTG